CTGAATTTCTACATACAGAACCGTTAGAGAACCCTAAAACAATCTGGGGTTGCTATTATCTGTGTGTTCCCAGCTGTGGACTCGTACTGACTCTGTTTTGTGCTCCCTCTTTGCAGCGAGGAGGCCGAGGACGAGATGGCTACTCCCAGTCCGTCCCCCTCCCCGGAGCCCAGGACCCGCTCCTCCGCCCAGCCCGAGTCGGGAATCAAGCGCCTGTAGGTCGACCCCGCCCGCCGCCGCCGGCCGCTTTCAAACGCACCCCCGCTGCCCGTATCCGCCTTTATTCTCAGCTGCCAGAATCCTCCTATACTGTCATTAACTCATTGACAGCCAGCCATTTTCAGAACAGAGTCCCATACTGCCAGAGTTTTTTGAGCATTTTGACTGATTTTTCTAGAGCCACAGAATAGTTTGTGCTATGACTATGTAAACACCGAACACACCAAAAGAAAGAGTAGACTCTCTTCTTTCATCAGGAAAAAAAATGTAGTTTCTACCTTATTCCGTTCTTCCTCGACTTGCGTCTCACCGGCGACATGTTCTCTCATAGCGAACCGTTACCTTTTTCTTATTTGCCTACAGTCTATGCTCATCTCCCATCAAAAGTGGCACTGCCACCTAGAGGGTCAATTTGTTACTACATACTCTGTCTAGAAGCCTGATATTTACGGACAAGCTTTAGCAGATCGTCCCCCAGCCACTCGTTGAAAAACATAAAAGACGTCTATAGACGTCTTTGGCAGCCAATGAGTTAAAGACGACCTCGCATTGATTTGTGAAGCGGTTTAAAAAAGGTCGACACACCTGAGCTCCTCTGGGTTTGGAAACCCGACCAGCCCCAGGCAGAAAACGCATCAATGACATGTTTAAACTACACATCCTGACATTCTGAGAGACAAGATAAGTCCCCACAGCTTTTAAACCAGCTTTAAACAGTCAGTTGAGGCTTAAAAATACGTAAAGATCATCATTATGTCACAGCTCATGTGCAGTTTTAAGGAAAATCTCCTCTCAGTTGTGTAAATGCGACAGTGGGAGGAACCGAGCTGCCAAGATTTTTATGAAAAAGACGAAAAGGAGAAAGCACTCTGAGTTAGTCGGTCCCGTCCCGCTTTCTGACCGAAACCGGACTTTTGTACTCTGAGCTGTTCTGACTTTTTGGTCAAACTGAGGTTAAAGGTTGACGTGGTCCCTGTCTCCCCCCCCCCCCCCTCCCCCCTGTGTCTTCACCTCTGTGGAACAGGATCTTCACAGCCATAATGCCGATGGTGGCGGCTGGTTTGATCCCAGATGACCCCACTTTACAGCCAATCAGACGCCTCATGTCACTTGTATGACTCCATATTTGTTTGGCTTCTGTCTGTTTCCATCTCAGCTAACAGCTCCACCCCCCCC